TTTCATCAAACGCTTACCTTCTCGATGAAACTCCAGTGATGATTCTTGCCAGGATCAGTTATTATTGTGATGTTTGCCAAATGGTTTTTAATTCCTTTGGTCATTTAAAAGTTTTTTTTTCAAAATTGTGGTGAGATACACATAACATAATATTTACCATCTGAGTCATTTTTAAGTGTACAGTTCAGTGGTATGAAGCACATTCATGTACGGCCATCACCACCATCCATCTCCAACCTCTTTTCATCTTGCAAAACTGAAACCCTTTATCTATTAAACAATAAATCCGCCTTCTTCCCCGACCCTCCCTGGGGCCACCAGCCCCCCGCAACCACCTTTTTACTCTCTGTGTTTGTGACCTGACTCCTCTAGGTACCTCAGACGAGTGGAATCTAGCAGTATTTGCCTTTTGGAGACTTATTCCACAGAGCGCAGTGTCCTCAAGGTGCATCCGTGTTGCAGCGTGTGTCAGAACTTCCGTCCTTGTCCAGGCTGAACAACGCTGCCCGCGTGCACCACATTTGCTCGTCCAACCGCCCTTCAGAGACAGCTGGGCTGCTTCTACACTTCGGCTGCTGTGGACGCTGCTGCTGTGACCAGGGGTGTACACACATCTACTGGAGCCTCTGCTTTCTGTTCTCTGGGGTCTAGACCCAGAAGTGGACTTGCTGGATCACGCGGTAACTCTATATTTTCACTTTTTGAGGAGTCACCATGCTGTTTCCATAGTGACTGCACCACATTTTACCGTCCCACCAACAGTCCACACAGGTTCCAGTTTCTCCAACGTTCTCACCAATACTTACTCCCTGTTTTGTTTTTCGTGGTTTTGTTTTTTAATAGTTTCCATCCTAATGTGTGTGAGGTGGTATCTCACTGTGGCTCTTGATTTGCATTTCCCTAATGATTAGTGATGCTGAGCATCTTTTAGGTGTGTAATGGCCATTTGCATACCTTCTTTAGAAAAATGTCTATTCAAGCCCTTTGCCCGTTTTGGATTGGGTTTTGTTTGGAGTCTCCATCAGTAGTGGTCCCTTTTTAAAGTTCCTTATTTTGAAAAATTTCAAATTTGAGAAAATCT